ACGATATCTACATATTTTTCCACAATCCTGCAATTCAACGCTCATAACTATAATTTGCACAAGCGCACATGATAGCTCCAAGATTCAAAATTATTCTTCTAAGAGATGGGAGGAGCTTCAATGCCTCCAGACTCTCCTGTCGACGTTTGTGAAGACACCTTCATCTACTGGATCGATTTGCCATACCATCTGAAAATTGAAGTTCTGCGAAATCTTCCCTTTCCAACCTTGTGGAACTTCATGTTCCTCAGCAAAGAATGCATGGCTTTGTCCTCGAAACTGAAGCCTGAAGTTAATGGTGTCTTCCTTTTACACGAACCGAATAGAGTACGGCAAAATGTAAGAACAACTCATCGTATGTGATTCTAGAGCATTTTTGCTGCACCTAATGTAACATGACTGATCAGTTTTCCAGGCAAACATGGGGAATTGCTCGGCAACTATCATCGTCTACTACCTGCCGCGCGGATCTACTGACCCGGATTTGCGAAAAAATTATACCATAAGATTTACCAACATTAATGAAGGATGCACGGTGAGCAGGTAATAGGTTATACAGCTTTTCTTATAGATACTACTATCATTTGAAGAGAAGATGATATGCGCATAGCAAGTACGGGACCGACTTATACGAACGAGTCCTGCTATGCGGTTTCGATGCGTGTCCTTTTCAATATGACAAAATATATGAAGTCGGAGCAAATATCAATGGAAATAGTGAGCCCGTTTGTAGAAATATTTCTCCAATCATCTAAAAAAAAGTACTTGCAGGGCTCAGTAAGAACGGAAGTACGGCATGTATTGGATGAATTACCGAAAACAGCATCACTTTGCTGTGAACGACTCACCGTTCATGCACATAGCCTTGCTGTTCTCACTTCACTCATCCCTCATGTAAACCCCGGTTGTAGACTATGGACATATGATAGTGATATTTTCAACATACCTGCCAATGTTTTCATCGACTCCGACATATTTGATCTCGAAACGGTGAGGTTCTCTCAGTCTTTCATAATGTAGTAAAAATGACTTTCATGTCAGATGAAATCGGCTCCACTCTTCTACACCAATGCTTCCTGTGAAATCAGCGACCATCAACTTCTTTCACTCAAGGCACATTGTCTCTATCTGAAGGCTCCCTATATATCAGCGAGAGGCATCAACGACATACTCCTGGTATCAGCTTATTAT